AAATTACAAAAATAGAATGCAAAAATCGTTCAAAAAGACATTAAATTGCACTGTTTCAACATTTTTAGATCTTTAAAATGATAACAAGACGTAAAGTGGATAGACAAATTCAAAGACACTTAAGATAGGGCATAGGTAAACCTTTTTTTGGCAGAAAGAAGCAAAAGCCAATTTATTAGTTTCCTTTACCTCTGCTTTTTTACCCGAAACGGTCACCGGACTGGAACCCCCTTTCTTAATATTATTTTTCGCTTTTTACAAGACTTATTCACTCTGACAGGCGACGCCAGCTTGTCTTGGCTTCGCTTTCAAACACATGTTTTGTTGTTTTGGCTTTTCTTTGGCAGCTGCTGCCACAGTAAAAAATCAGGCAGCGGGAAAATCTAGAGCAAAACAACAAAAACAAAAGGCTGTTTGCATCCTGCAAAAGCAAAAGGTGTGGCCGAGGGAGCGAGAAACAGGAAAAAAGAATTAAGCAAACATTTATCGATTTATGTGCCCCAAAGAACTTAAAGCTGAAAATTGAACAGCACGAAAAACGCGCGCGTCATGCGTACTTCAAAAACAAAGACCAAAAATTCGCTAGCGTCCCAAAAAGGGAGGGAAATGCATGTACATTTATATAAAAATATATATGTATTTACGTGTCCCTATATCTGATTTGATTTTAAGCGAAGCCCGTTAAACGACGAATCAGCAGAAAAAACCGAAGAACGACCTCAATTTATTGCATTGATTGGAACTGATTCAATGAATGAAAAATATATATACTATACACACATTTATACTTGGAGCCTTGTAGGGCCGATACAATTTTTTTTTTTTTACCATTGTTAACAAGAACATTCTGAGAGCACATCATCTTAAAAAAAAAACTACAAAAATACACCCATACCCATATCCACTCAAAACCCAATCGAAAAGAGAGTGAAAATGCATTAGACATTAGGCGCACACACAAACTGAAATTTGGCAACAGCGCACCAAAGGTCTTGAAGTGGAACCAAATCTTTATCATTGGGTTGAAAAAGTAGGAAACGATTTCAATACTGTTGCAAACTCTTAGTAAAAGAAAAACGTTGTTTTACGACTTATTTAATTTCAACACAATTTAAAAGAAAATATATTTTTTTAATCTGAAGTTTTTCTTTGATAAATCTTATTTGAAAACATTAAAAAAGAAACCTTTAACCTAAAAATTGCATTTCTAATTTTTTTACTAAAAGTAATAAGAAATTGAATTTTTTGTTTACCAAACAATAATACAACTTTAAGTTTTATTTCATTCTATTTTAGCTATGGAACTCAAACAATGAAATTACTAAAGAATTCCTTTCACAGTTTTTTATTCTGCCCAACTATGTACATACATATGTACATATGTATATGTACATTTTTATTCCAAATTCCACACTGAACTTCAACTATTTTCTACTTTGTGCTATTTCTGTGACCAAAAACCAATTCTCTGTATCTAATGTTCCGTATAAAGTTGCATATCCAGCGTATCCAAACAATAAAAATAAAACACGAATGCAGAAAACAACAGAAAAAGAGAGACAACAAAAAACCAATAAAGACAACAAACATTGCCGGCCAGCAACTCCACGTAAACTTCATTTACTGTCTGGCTGTGGGCCCCATTCTCCTCCCCTCTTTTCAACCGCTCTTGCTCCTCTTTCCACCATTTATTGAACGGCCTGCACGCAGTGTTTTTTTCACTTTTTTTTCTAGCTCCGACACAAAATTACTTTTTGTGGCTTGACTGGTGAGGTCTCTCCATCTCGTTTTTCTGTCTTTATCTCACTCTCATTCTCTCTTTATCTGCCCTGCTTCCTCTCACTATCTTTATATAGCTGGGTTCAAAACAATAGTGAGCATACCCAAAAAACTTTTTTTTTTTCGTTTGGTTTTAAGCTTTAGAAACACAAAACAACCGGATCAATTAGACTAATTTCAACAATAACATAAGATAAGCAGGTTCGCTATTTTTAATTTAAAAGCTCCTTAAAAAAATTTTCAAAGGACGAAAAATTACGAGCGTTTTTAAATAAAGACTTTAATCTGCGTATCCGTAAATATATTCATGAAGGCAAAAAAGATAACTAAAATCTTGGCTGCGACTGTTGCTCATCGTTCATCTTGCATGCTCTTTCTGTTCGTTGTGTGATAGCTTTTATTTATTTTTTGTGTGTTTTTTAATAAATGCTTGAGTTCATTCAACTGTCAAAAAAAAACTATAAATACATACACATGGAACAGAGATAGGCAAAGAAAAAGAGAGGGGCATAAGCATGATCGAAGCTCACGACGTGCATACAAAAGACGTAAAAATCAAATATGTACTTCTTCTTTCGTTTAAAACATTTAAAAAATTTACTTTTGTACATGTGAAATCCATGACTTTTCGGCCACTGTTCTTAAGCTTTTTGATCTAAATTTAAGTTTCAATTCTAAACAGTCAACAACATTTTACAGCAGGCCATTTACAGTCCCCACCAAATCTTCCCTCCAAATTCCCAGCACTCACATTCTGTAAAAGTTTTTCCTTGTTTTATCCGAATGTATTTGTCTATTTTAGTTTCAGTGCCTGCTGTATGTGTGTTTATTGTATTTATGGCATTGTTTCGCTTTCGAGTTTCCGCCATGACAGTGCAGACCTCCAAAATGCAACTATTTCTGTCCCACATAGATACACAACAAATTCGCTGAGGTGTGAGTAAATAATACAGGCAGTCGAAATGGTTCATAGGATATATTTATGTACATATGTATGTATGTATCTTACATATATATTTAAGCAAGGTGTAAAGAAAAATATATATTTTTATTTAAGAATCAGTTCGTTAACATCATGCCCATATGTAGATACATACACATTTACTTTAAAAAGATTTGTATCTTTAAATTGATTAAAAAGCTTCCAGTATTTCTGCAGTTCTCTACCTTAATTACAGCAAAATATGAAATATAAATTTTTAAGCCTAGAAATGACAAAAATATATTATTTTACATGAACTTTTGTTTTAAACTTATTTAAAATATATTTTAATTAATTTTTTTTCAATCCATATTTATTTATAAACACAAAAAATTAGTGTATATTGCAAAATCGCAATACAACAAGTGATTGACCATCCTTTAAAATAGCTTTTGTACTGCAACCGGTACTCTTTTAAAAAGTCAGAACGTAAATATCTACTATATTCTTTTGTTTAATTATTATTATTAAAAAAGATTTTGTAAACTAAATAATGTCTTTTACCATTCTTACTGTAAGATATACATACATATGTTCATTTATCTTTTTGTGAGCGCCAAAAAGAAACTCTGTAAACTGAAAGAAAATGCGCAACCAGGAAGAGAAGCGGAAGATAAGAAAAATAAAACAAGGGAGACAAGAAAAGCCCCAAACAAAAAACGTACTAATACAAATAAACAGTCGGTGTCTGACTGCCAACGGTATCTCTTTTACATACCCACACATTTACATACATGGGCAAGCATCAAAAGCTACCACGAGGAAGAAGGGAGCTAGAAAACGAAGAAGTAGGCGGAATGGAGAGCAGAGTGCAATGGCAACAACAAAGCACAACAACACAGAACTCGAGGAAAAAAGTGGGGAGCAAAAACTGTTTCTTTTTAAATGTTTTTACTTCTATCTGTGTACATACATACGTACATATGTATTCCGGAGGAGCAACCAGAGCGATTAAAATACAGTAAGAGTTTGATGGAATGAACCAACAGAGTTTATAAAATAAAAACTAAAATTAAATAAACACACTACCAAGATAATTTTGGTTCAATAACAATAGCAAAACAAATTTAATTTTTTTAATTTGTATTGTTCTTCAATGTAAGTCATGTTAAGTTTTCTTTTAACTTTTTTGTTTATTTTTGCCATTATTTTCCTATTTAATTAATATTGCTTTAAGCAATTTTTGTTGAATTGAAAAAGAAAAATCAGGAAAATCATCGAAACGTGAAAATAGAAAAATAGTTGGGAACCAGTTTTTTTGTTTAGTAACTTTCTGTGTATGTAAAGACGTACTACCGAAGACAAACGAAACTATTGCAGCAACTTTTAATTGACATAAAACTTGCGGTCAGGATAAATGGCTAAAGTCGTTTCGGCCAAATGGCCACGCATGTTTCCATCCCCTCATGCTCTTAAGCCTTATAGCCGGTTCAACTAGTTGGCCATAATTGGTTTTCAGTTTCGGGTCCTTTGCCTGCAATCAACAAAAAAAAACTTCTCTAACTTGGCTTTAGGCTTATTTTTTTACTATCCATTGCGTTGGCGTTCTCGTGTGTTCCCTAAATTGGATTTTATTCCTATCTTTTACTGGCCAAAAACAACCAAAACATCTTCCAACTCTCACGTAAATGCCCAGATGGAAATGCAAATGGCAAGAAAGAAATTGAAAATAAACCAATATTTAAAATCAGTTTATTAAACAAACGGCAACCCCACGCTCTTATCTAAAGAAATCGAATTGTATTTTATTTTGGTACATTTTTTCTAATATGTATGTACATAGATTTACTTTGTCAAAGTTTTTTTTTTTTTTTTTTTTTTTAACTTTTTTAAATTGTTGAGCTTAAATAAGTCTACCTACCCTAGCATACTAAAATTTGCTTACAATATAATTTTCCATTCAAATTGAAAATTCCATTATGACACAGTTTTAAAGCGAACGCCCACTGTTTTCCCACTCTCTATTATAATTAACTGCCCCAGATTCAGCAGTATCCGTCACATGGGAAACCGATAAATAAATACGTTTGACATTTCTCAAGGTCTCTGCTATTACACTTCCGCTCTTATCAAAAACGGCGAAAACAAAACCAGTGAAACACATTTCTTACCCCTTAAGCACGTTTTATGTGTCAATTTTCCTATTGTTACCCAAGCAAAGTGATCACAATTTTTGGCAGATTTTTCCTGGTTATAATCTTTAGTTCTTGGTTCTTTTTCGGTTTATAAGATTACTCACATTTCGCGCACTCAGCACTCTTTTCTTCTTCCTCTTTCTCCTTCTGTTCCCTCGTGCTTTGTCAATTGATAAGCCGTTAGCCGACGCCTCTGCCTCTCTCTCACCACTCTCTTAAAAGTTATGTTTTTTATTCCATTCGTTGTTGTTGCTGTGGATTTTGGTTGCTTGGTGTTGGTGGCATTCCGGTTAAGAAATTGCAGAGATGGGGAAGACGAAGTCGTTTGAAACCGCAGTTCACTGATTAAGCACTATAATTAACTTTGTTGTATTTGCATTCACTTAATATAATTTTCGTTGTCAAGCGCTGCAGGAAATATGGACATATAAGATTAATTTTTACACTTTTTTATGATTTGCTTCTTCTTATTTCTTATTTACACACACACACTCTACACGCGCGAGAAAACTCGCGACGGCTGCTCCTGCTTCTTCTTATTTGAGCAGCATCCTCTTTTTTTCTTCGTCGCTTTCGCTCTGCTCTTCGCTTCGTATATTTCACACAATTTTCTTTGTTGCAATTTAGGCATTTGTTTTAGCACACATGCACACTGAAAACAGGCACGTACACACAGAAGCACTCACAGCAAATTTTATTTTGCTGCTCCTTCTCTTTCACGCCGCACTGATTTGCCGCCCCGCTCTGGCACACTGGCTACTCACGTAATTCAGCTAACTTTTCGTATTTCCCTTTGCGGTTAAATCGCACAAATGGCTTACTTCGATTTGCTGCAAGACAAACACGAGTATTGTATAATTAAGAACTTTTTCTCCACTTTGCTGCGACCCCAAAATGTTTCAGTACACACAGACACACACACACACACGCGCGCGACGAAGAGGACGACGCAACGACACGTCCGTTATGTTCCAGCGAAAGAGAGAGACAAAAACACAAAAGGAAGATGACAATAAGCGAATCGGGGAGTTCCTAACGGGTGACACAAATCACCTAACGCCTGGCTAATATCGAATATTCGATTGCGGAGGGGCAAAAAAAATTAAATCGCTCACGGAACAAAATTTTCATTGGAAAAAGCGTTTATTAAAAACATATTTTAGTTTTGCTTTTGCAAAAAAAAACTTAATGGATTGCAGTTCTTACCAATTCGATAACTTTAAAATGGACATAGTTTCACAGCATCAAGCTTTTGAAGGCGCCAATTTCAAAATTTAGCAACACTGAAACTATGTGATTTTTCTGGTACTAAAAAATTTATAAAAATTTTGGTTGTACGAAATTTTTGAAGTTATAAATTTTAGTCCTTTTCTACAAATTTAAAAAAGCCTTCAACACATTTTTTATTAGCTGTTAGTTTTGTGTATCAAGTATAATATAGTTTATTAAAAACTATGCAGGAGTAAGTAAGTTTTTTAAAAACGTTGCCAATTGGGTTGAAAAGAATGTCAAATAAATAAACTTAAAACAGGATCATGTGTTTGTAAAAAGAAAATTCAATAGTTTACCTCCTGTAATAATGACACAATTTTTTGAACAAGTCAAACTGTTTTTAAAATCTGTTTCTTTCCGCAGCAGCAAAATTTTGAAATTAAACTAGCATACTTTTTTATGTCGTTTCTTTTCGACTAATAAACTTAAAAAGTTTCCTTGTTCAAATATTCCGCATTATTTAAATTGAGAAGTGATTTTTGGGGAAGGGTCACTTCTTTTCTTTGGTTCATTTTGAATCCGAGTTTTCCACCATGTGTCTTAAAGGTACAAGAACTAGCGGGGGGTTTTTTAGGAAAAGAGTTTTCGCCTTCGGAGAGCAGGTCGCACAGCGAAACGAAAACTGGCCACACTGCGGGAAAAAGTTGTGGAAGGTGCGTCGCGTTTCTTGAGCTCCCGATTGCCGAGTTTCCCGTGAAAACTGCAACTGGAATCGGAGGTGTTTAACAATACTTTGCTATTCCTAAATTGCATTAATTAATCTTGTTAGTAATTGCAAATAAATTTGCAATGCTATTGTTAACATAAATATAAAATCACGCAAGAATGTACATATAAATCAGATTAATAACAAATTTGACGAGGTGCGCAGAGCAAAGGGAAAACGGACGAAGGCGAAATCGAAGAGGAAAATCTAATACACAAAAAGTGAAGAGCCAAATAATTGTTGTTAGCAGAGTGTGTGAAATAGTTGTTGTTTTGCTGGTGAGAGAAATTGAAAAAAGGGCGTCGCAGTTAGAAAAAATATTGTGTGCATAAAAATCAAGCGCTGCAACAGCCAAAAACAGGGAGAGAGGCAGAGAGCGTGAAAAGCGGTGAAAGAGAGAAAGAGAGAGAGCGGGTGGCTGCACCTCAATAACAGTTGTTGCAAAGGTGAGTGCGTGCCGAATATTGTTTATAGTCCAAAGTGGTTTATTTAAGTGTATTCACAACCTGGCCCACAAACACATAACCACACGCACTCACGTAACTGTGTGCCCACAAACGTGTGTGTGTAATGGTTTGGTAATAATTTATGCCAAAAAAGCCGAGGGATTGGATTGATCCATGCTTTTTGGGGCTTCAAGAACGTTCTCTTTGAGTTGCAATTAACTTATTGTTTAGTTGTTAATCTGTAAATGTTTTTGATTTCCTAAATTAAATTAATATAAATGTCATACTAAATATTATAAATATTATAAATATTGTAAAAACAATAATTAGTAAGGACATTTTGGGTAGTGCTTTCTTTTTTGAATTATGCTTCTTATTTAAAAAATGAAATGTGTTACATTTTCTTTTTGCTTTACCTTATACTTCTTAGCTGCATTAAACATGACACTGGATTTTAATAAAAAAAAAACACCGAAGAGCCAAATTAAAAACTTTGAGGAAAAAATCCGTATTTTTTATATAGTTTTTGTAGTACCAATGACACTGATAATCGAAAGCTATACATTTCTCCTCAAATTTTGTTGTAACCTGAATATAATTGTTTCCTGTATCAGAGCATTTATAAAATAGTTTTGTTTTTTTTTTTTTTTTTTTCAAATTATTTGCAGTTAATGTAAACCATTCAGAAAACGAATATAAAAAAAAAACTGATAATAAGTAGTTTCTAATCATAGGTTTTCAACAATAGGGGAGTTTTTAACCCGTAACTGCGCTCCTGAAAAGTGCCACAATTGGCTTTCCCTGCCACTGCACTTTGATTACTATTTGTTAAACCGCGCAGCCCCACTTCCCCCTGACATATGCATAACACAATTAACGCTAATAGCAACTTCAATTCAATTTATAATAATAGAGAATGCGTTTCATGGCATGGCAACAATCACACTCTCCTCCGCGTCTTTTGATCAATTCACTTAGCTGCACATTTTGTGTGGGATCGTCTTAAGCAAGTTAGTCTTTCTATAGCCTCATCTTCCTGTTTGTTGTCATTATCATTTGGTTGCTTTTGTTGTTGTTCGGAGACAGGCACGGTTGAATCTACAACAACACGTTTTTGTCAGCAATTGAATTAAATTCAATGGGAATGATAAATGTAAGCGGCCTGAAAAAAAGAATCGAAAAGCGAGGCTATTTCTACACAGGACAAAATTATAGTTCTGCTAGAATTTTGGCTCTACAACCTTAAGTGAAACTATAAAAAGCAGCAAACAAAAAGAAAAACTGCTGATTTTATTTAACTTAAAAAAGATTTACAGCAGCATTGTTGTTGGCATTTCATTAACTGTTTATGTTTATATTATATTTATATTTAAATATATTTTTATATAACAAAATGTTTTAAAACCAAAAAAGCTTAAAATTGGAATATTTGTTTTGCGGTGTAGCCTTCTTTCCCGCTCTCGTTTGCTTGCCAGCTATTTCTGGCGCAGTATTTATATTATTTATTTAATTTCGTGTGCAGATCAACCATTCCTCTTTTCCACCGACTAATCTCTTTTTGTCTGTGACAACTGATGATTTTATTTATGATACTCTGGGCTCACACGGTGCGAATATGAATATCAAATATTTCATTGAAAAATTCCTTAGCCAAATGTTTAAATTACGCGCGCTCATTTCGGGTTTGTTTAATTTGATTTTAAAATTGGCCACGAGCATGGAAAAGCTCCTGCCCTTCACTTTGTTGCCAACGGCGCCAAAAACACTTGCTCACAAACAATTCTGGATACATTTGGAATTTTGAAAGCCCACAAGAGTGCGAAGACCTAGACATCAGCCTGTGATGACGTCAAAGAGCAAGTGGGTGGTGGGAGGAGCGTGGAAGAGCCAAATAGATGAGAGACGAGATTAACGCTTGGTACATGTTGTTTGGCTACGTGTAGATTTTAAAACAACTGATTAGCATGAAAGTAAAGCGTATAAACCATGGTCAATAAAGTGATTTGCACTGCCATACAAAATTTATACATTAAAAAGGGTTAGTTATTAAGTTCACCGGTTTTTTACCTCATTTGTTTTTATTAAATTACTCAATTTCCTTTTTTAAAAATAATAGAAATAGAAATAACATATTTATAAGAACAATTATTAGATGATTACAAAGTGAAAGTTGAAAGTGTATTATTTAATGTGGAATTTTCCTAAACGAAAATTCAGTATGTAAGCGTAAATTTCCTTATGAATGTATTTCCACTATTTCTTTTATACCAAATTTTGTTATGCGGGTTGCTTGTCAGTTCCTCAGAGATTGATTAATAATTTATTACGAACATTAATTAACTTTCCATTTTCTGCTACATACCTCTTTTATTCTCACAGTATTGATCGAAAACAATCTTCAAACGAACCTTCGATGAATTGCTTTCGGATATAACCAAGTCCCAAATTTGTTGTTTTTTTTCTCTCAATCCCCATTAATCTTTGAATATCGTGCATTATGCAATATAATCCAAGCATACGAAAGAGCACGAAAGCACGCAGATTATTTGCATATTTAATTAAGTTTGTTTGGTGGGCAAAGGCAAGCGAAAAACCAAGCAAAAGGAAATTTGCATTGGGTTTTATTTTGTTCTTGAACTTCTCACGAACCCATTCGATTTGTTTTTGTTTTCCCCAATTTTATTTATTTCTGTTTATTCTCTGTTGTTTTGGGCGTGTGCCCAAAAGAGAGAACCGAATTGAGAGAGCCATGTGCGGCACCCGGCTCTTTCGGCAAGTTTGTCCTGGCAACAAGCGACGCACCCAACAAAAATACTTTATTTCATTTTGCGGTTAATAGTGGGTTTAGTTTCTGCCTGATTAGCCGGCTGGGCTCTTGAAAATAGTTATAAAACCACTCCAGACTATTGCACTTCCTTCTCTTAAACATTATAATCATGTTCCTTTTACGATTACTTTTTTTAATTTTCAACTTTCTTATATGCGGCCATCGAACTAAGATAAGATTCGTCTGCGAATTTTTTCCCACTGCTTCGCTAATCTTACAGATTAGGTTTATTAATCATAATTGACGAAAAGAAGAAGGTTATATTTGCACTTCGCTGCGTGTTAATTTTTGACTTTTTAAACGAATTTGGAGCCAAATACGCAGAAATAAGTGGAGGGGTGTCATAAACTGGAATTTCTTTTGAAGATTAAGGTTCCATAACTAGGGTAAAAATGGATTATGGCTCCTTCGTTGAGGTGATGATGTCAGTCATGCTAATTTATATCTAATGGTTGTATTCACAGGTCTTTATGCTTAAGATATTAGTGACTCAATAATACATTTTCCGTGTTTTGGGACACTTTATAAAATGAGTTGCTCACTTGGAGAAGAGCAATAATAATTAAAACTTGAGTTCTTTACTAGAAACCTAGGGAAGTGTTGAACGAATTTATCTGTGTCTCAGATCTAGTGACTCATACCCTAGTTAAAAATACGCTCGACCAGATGACCAAATATGACAATGACCTTATATGTTAACTACAGCTTTACAGTTTGTTGTTTTTGCTTTTTTGCCGCTCTGATGGGGCCAC